GTTAAAATTTTTCACTTGTAATTCAAAGGTCAATAAAAATCTGAAAAGATCCACACACAGATCTTTTTTTTTTTTTTTTTAAGATTTATTTATTTATACAAGCACTGGGCACAGTCAGAAGCACAGGAAGGCGAGAAAACCCACCAGAGCCAGAGCGGGGAGCAGAGCAGGCAGAAGGACCAAAGTACACTGCTGAGGGGAGCAGCAGGCGGCAGGAGAGGTCTGCGTGCCACGTGGGACCCTCCTCCTGTGGCCGGGGAGCAGCTGGGGATCGAACCGGCGCTACAGAGGCTGCAGGCAGCTTTGCAACCCAGCGCTCAACTGCTGCGGAGGCCCCCCACACAGATCTTTTCTAAAAAATAAGTTCATGTTGCACAAAAGATATATAAACTTGCCCCTAATGAAGCAATGTAACAGTGGTGGGAAATGTCACAGATGGAGCCTAGACTACCGGCCACTCTATGGAAAAATGCACCCCCCCCAAGAAAGGCACCCCAAATCTTACTAAGACTTTTATAGATCCAGCTGTGAATTTTCAAGAAATACAGAGGAACACATTAAATTACATTGGACAGATGCAATCAGTAAAATCCCAACAACAGAAAAGCTACAGAACCACCCAATGGATTTAAAGAATAAACTACAGGGAAAACAAAAAACAGGAGGAAATCTATAGATTAAAAGAAATTTAAAAGTCATATTAAAACTCGTTGCTTTTATAATACTATCATCTACTAATTTTCTTTATACTTCACTGATTTTTTTCCCTACACACACACACACACACACACACACACACACGGATTGTTCCTTGTTTATCCATTATCTAAAACATACAGGCCAACTGGAAACTTGAATATTAACTGGTTATTTGATGATATTAAGGAAGTATTATTTTCTCAACTTTATTTTTTTTAAAGATTTATTTATTTATGCATACAAGAGCTGGGTACAGGCCAGAGATGCGGGGGTTGATTCACCAGAGACAGAATGGGAAACAGAATAGGCAGATTGACCAAAGTACACTGCTGAGGGGAGCAGCGGGTGAGTCAGGAGAGGTCTGCTTTGCCATGTGGGTTTCTCTCTGCCTGGCCAGGGATCGAATTTGTGCTGCAGAGGCTGCGGATTGCCTCATAGTGTGGTGCTTAACCCCTTGTGCCACCAGGGATGCCCTGTTTTTTCAACTTTAAAAGGGTTTTTATCTTTTAGAAACACATAGTGAAAAAAATCTGTGGATGAAATGACATCATATCTAGAATTTGCCTGAAAATAATATGGGCAGGTCTAAGTGGATGAGGTGAGGAATGAAACAAGATTGGTCAGGTGTTGGCAACTATTCTGATTACAGGTATGCCCTGCTTTTTGAAAGTTTGCTTTATGAAATATCTAAATTAGTACCAGTTTTTGATAACTAAAAAACACCTTAATTCTATGATAAAAGGCAAAAGGTGAAAAGTGATCATTTCTTTGGCTATGAGCTGCTCTGGAAGCAGCTTGTGATCAGAGCAACTAGGGGTCCCATTAATCTCCGTTCCCCAGAACCACTTTACACAAGCTGTGTATTTATTACAGCATTTCTGTTTTGACTATATGCTTGTGTTATTTTAGGTTTAACTTACTATGTAGTAAGATTTGGCAGGTTATTTTTTGTATCTGGGATTGCTCAAAATTTTTTCCATGTAAATTAATGTAGTTGCTCCTTTTCTTTGCACTATTTTGCAAGGGCTTCACAGGGATGTTCTACTTACAGGTGTGTGTGTGTGTGTGTGTGTGTGTGTATGTGTGTATGTAATCCTGTGTGTTGTTTAAAATCCCTGCAATAAACAGTTACAATAAAGACATGCTGAAATTAGTTCACGAAATCACGAAAGACCATACAATTCAATTATTTTTAAGGAAAATTATGTAAAAATGTTACCTTCTTAACCAGGAGTTAAATATAAGTACATATTTAGACAAAAAATAGCTGCCTTACAACTGAAACAATAGTGTTGAGTAAAAAATATGGTTTTTGTGGGGCCTCCCTGGTGGTGCAAGGGGTTAAGTCTTGGCACTATGAAGCTATCTGTAGCCATTGCAGCATGAGTGCGATCCCCAGCCAGGGAGCTGACCCATATGGCGCAGCAGATCTCCCCTGTCTCACCTATTGCGCCCCTCAGCAGTGTATTTCAGTAGATCCACCTGTTCTATTCCCTACTCTGTCTCTGGTGAATCCTCTCACCCCTCACACCTCTGGCCTACACCATAGCTCTTGTATGCATAAATAAATAAAATAAATCTTTAAAAAAAGCATTAAAAATGTGGGTTTTGTTTTTTACCTTCTGCATCATGAAAACAATAGCTTTGCTCACTTTTAATTGCTTCATCTGACACATTATTGAGAAAATTAAGACTTTTAAATAAATTGAAGTCTACATTTTTAACATTTGTGTAGGGGGTCAAGTAAACATTTAAATCTGTCAAAAAATTTAAGTTTGGGCACCCTGGAAATTAAATTCCCAGGAAACTCAAAACTGTCCAGAAGACTGCCAAAATAGATGTATTTCTTAACCCTGAAGGATCAAAGGAGAAAAAAAAGAGTAAATGAAGGAAAATGTTACCTAGATTGGATGTTGTTCTTCTAGAACAAATTAAAAGTCAAGATCTAAGGGACTCACAAAGGAATGCTGAATTTAGGGAGATCTGGGTTCAAATTTCACTTTCTAGCTCTGTGCTCTGAACTTTGAACACCCATTTTTGCCTCTGTAGATATGGGTTTCTATAAGAGGGTTTTTACTAATTATCACAGGCTCCAGTGACAAATTATCTTTTTTTTTTAAAAAGATTTATTCATTTATACAAGCACTGGGTACAGTCAGAAGTGTGGGAGGGTGAGAGAATTCACCAGAGCCAGAGCGGGGAGCAGAACAGGCAGAAGGGCTGAAGTACACTGCTGAGGGGAGCAGCGGGCACGGCCAGAGAGTTCTGCGTGCCATGTGGGACCCTCGCCAGGCGGGTGGGGGGGGGGGTGGGGTGGCGGGGGAGGGGTGGTGGTGGGTGGGGGGGCCGGGGGATAGAACCGGCGCTTCAAGAGGCTGTGGGCCGCTTCAACCGCTTCAACCGCTGTGCCACCAGGGGAGGCCCTCTGGCAACAAATTAAAATGATAGTACCTGGATGACAAATACTGCCTAACTCTCCTGGCCTGGGGCTACCTTTCTAGCTAATTGCAGCTCTTCCCTCCTACATGCGTCCTGGAGGTTGAGAATCCTGCAATCAAGTTGAATGAGGTCTGTATTTTGCTTGGCTCACAGCAATAAAATTTTGAATTAGTTACTGCCAAAATCTAAAAATCAGGAGAGTATAGATTCAAATTTAGAGTTCTGGCTTCTTTTGAAAAATGTAGGTAAGGTCTGGTCCCCACCACTCTGTGAGTCCTCTTATACCTTCTCCTCCAGGCTGATTCCAGAACCCACAATGGTGTAAAGTCCTTCCTTGACTCTGCCCTTTCCCACTTCAGTGCTTCTCCCTGCCTGGCAAATTTCTCATCACCCTTCAAGGCCCAACTCCAGCACCACCTGTCACCTCCTCCACATTCCCCTGGCACAATCCCTCCTCTCTACAGCAAGCAGCAAGTGTCACACTGTCCTGGAACTGTCTACATGTTTGCCTTTTCAATTGTGCTCTGGGGTTCTCTAAAGGAAAGGACCCTGTTGCTATCTATTTTTTATCCTCAGAGATGACCAGAAAACCTGACCTAGATAATAGAGAATTCAATAAATGTCGCCTGAATATATGGAGGAAAGTCAGAGCTAAACCATCATAAAAATGTAACATTCTGTATCACAGTTTGTTCTGACAGTTACTAAATAAAGAGGTCAAGGACAAAAAAAAATTTCACAAAATGAGAACGAGCTTCCATTTGCTTACAAGTTTCACAAGTTACTCAGAAGTCATAAAGTGAACAGATAAAACAGAGGCAGCAGACAGGCAGGTTATGCATGTATTCTACTGAATTGATATTACTGAGTACTAACTGTGCTTTCTAAGGACTGGGGATAAAGTAGGGGAAAATCAGACAACACCTATTTTCACAGAGCTACCTCCTAGTGGGGGAGACAAAAATATGCAGGCAAGTAAATAGTACAGTTTTGAATGAGAATGAATGACAGGGAAAAAAAAAACCATAAACAAAATAAAGAGAATGACTAAAGCAGGGACAAAAAGGGTGATCATGGAAGGAGATGAGTCGTCAGATCGGAAGAATGTCCAGAAGGAGTCAGCTGTGCAAAGATCCTACAGACAACTCCAAGCACTGGAAGCAGCAAGTGTAAAGGTCCTGAGGTAAAAGGGCTGCTTGTACTAGCAGGTGAGAAGATGGGCGGGACAGGAGAGCGCAGCTCTGGGTGCGGGAGTGGCAGGGCAGGTGGGCTGGGCTGGCTCTGGGTAAGCTGGGCACTGAGGATGCAATGACAAGGCACAGAGGAGCAAGGAGATGGGGGTGGGGGCTAGCTGGACAGGCAGGGAGGGGGTTCCTGCCACTCTCACACCAGCAAGAGGTGTTATCCCGCCCAAATTTTCACAAATGGGCCCTGGACTCCTGCCCAGGCGCTTTCACACACATTCACATAGCCTGACAACTCAGTCCATGAGGGTAGACATTTTCCCACTTTCCGGAGGGAAGAGCCGAGGGTTAGCACAGAGCCCAAGGTCTTGGGAGCCTGACTCCGATTTCCTGAGCATCGGGGGTGGGTGTGCAGCTGCGGGTCCCACAGTTGGGGGGTGGCGCCCACAGACCCCACGGCAGGTCTGCCAGAGCCAGGCCAGCGAGCGGACTCCCGGCTGCCGGCTGCTGACAGCCAGGCGGGAGGGGGCGACCGCCGCAGCCCGAAGGACCGGGAAGGCGGCCCGGCCCAGCCAGAGCCCCGCCCAGAGGCCGCCAACCCAGCGCCCTCCCGCAGACCCAGGCCGCGCGGCCTCCCGGCGCCCCTCCCCGCCGGGCCTAGCCCGCTGCCGGGCTCACCTCGCCTCCCCGCCGCCGCGCCAGGGGGAGAGGGCGGGCGGGCGGACTAGCGGCGATGCGCGTCGGCCGCTCGCGGCTCCGCTGCCCCGGGCTCCGCCGGACGCCCCGCCCCGCTCCGCGCCGCCCCGCGCCGCCGCCGCAGTGGGTGTGAGGGGCGCCGGGGCGCTTCGACCCTTCCGGTCCCGCTGCCTCCGCCGCCGCCGCCGCCGCCGCGGCGCCCCGCCTGAATGACGCGAGTGCTGGCCAATCAGTGCGCGGAGAGATGAGCCAGCGCGGCCAATCACGCCGGGGGCGGGCTGATGGAGGGCGGGGTGGGCGGAGCCGCGGTTCCGGGAGCGGGGTTCGGTGAAGGGAGCTTAGGCGCCCGGCCGAGCCTCTGCGCGCTCGCCGAGCCCGCTGTCTCTCTTGGGTGCTCGCGGCGCGGCTGCGGGACCCGGAGCCGAGAGGTGGCGGAGGGGCGAGCCGGCGGGACTGAGCCCAGTCTTTGCGGTTGCAGGTGCAGGCGGGCGGCGGCGTGGCCCCTGGAGGGTGACAGAGGGCTGCGGGCAGTTTGGGAGCGAGCCAGGGCGAGGGAGGCCTGGCCGTCCGCGTCCTGCACCCCCCTGTGATACCTTGAGAGAAGGGAGGCTAGGCAAGTGCCTTGAACTCCCTTGCTCCTGGCTAACGGGCTTGTAGCAGCGCGGTCAGGAGTCAGGGGTGGGGCTGGTATTGGAGGAGATGGCCAGTTGCAGGCCAGCATCCCCGGAGGGTCTGTGACGCGGAAAAGGAGGAGGATAGGCTAGTGCGGTAGGGGCACAGGTCAAGCCTCTTTTCTGTTCTAGTGCAGAAGGGCTGGGTTGTAGTAAGTGGGAGGAATGGAATGCAGTGCTGAGGGTCCCCTGGGGTCCTTGGACAGCTGACCTTTTGAGTCATCTCCCGCACCCCTCTGGATCCTTGGTAGGTTTTAGCAGGCCTGGGTTATGTGAAATGATGGGAGAAATCAGAGTCTTGATGCTGGATATGTGGCTAACCAAAATTAGAAGTAGGCAGGGAAATTAGAGACATTGGGGAAAAGCTCAGGGATCTGGGGTGAGAGTCGTGGGGGTGGGCTGTGGAGTAGCAGCCAGCACAGGATGCCAGGCCCACTGGATTATGGGGTGGGGTCTGAATTGTGGGGGAAAAGCAGGGCCCTGCAGATGGGGAGAGCATGGGATTAGGGGGCATGGAGGGTAGTGGCAGAATTTGGGATTACCCCAATCCAGACTGCGGACACTAGGATCTCAGAGGAGGGCTGGGATAAGGAAAGAATCCAGCCCCGTGTCCCCCTTAACCACCCTCCCCCACCTTGGCCACCAGAAAGACTTAGGTACCACCTCTGCTGGAAATTCTAGCTCCTGGTGTGACCTGTATTGAGGAGGGTGGCCCTGGGGCTCTTGCCCACACTCATCATCACCTCAGCTCACCTACCACCTGCCCCAGGTGCACAATGGAAAACAAGGAACCATAAATTGCCATTGTCAACGATTATGGGAAACTGGTAATACATGGTTGTCAGAGTCAGAGCTGCCAGCCATAGAATGCCTGGCTGAGATTAGGAAAGGCACCCATTCCCAAATATATTCCAGCCCTGAGTGTGAAGCATTCACCCTATGCTAAGTGAGTACCAAAAATCACATATGTGTGTGTGTGTATGTGTGTGTGTGTGTGTATATATATATATATATATATATATATATATTTCACACTGCGTTTTCTATAAGGATTCTACTTACTCCAGAGACACTGCTGCTTTCTGATTTATGAAATGGAATGGATATTTAAGGACCCAGAGGTAGGGTGACGGGGACTGGTTCATGCCTGCATAAGTACTCAGAATTTTGGTTAAGACTGACAAGTGAGAAGATCCTGCTTTGGGTATGCTGGGAACTGTGGGCAGGACACATGATCAGGACTGATGGCTGATTTGGCCTGCCAGCTGAGGAGAAGGAGGTGGCATTTTGACAGGAGGAAGGCCCAGGTGAGACTGGAGGCCAGCAGCAGTGTGCTGGGCCAGTAGTGTAGATGGAAGGGCAATCAGAAGTGAAGACCTGAATGCTATGTCCAGGGAACTGCAGGTCACCTGGGGGTGGGGGCTGGAGTAATGAGGACTTGAGGTGGACTGGCATTGCTCCCTGGAGGACCATGGACTGGCATTGTTGGCCTACTGGTGTGCCTTCTTCAGCCCAGGGAAATTTTGTTTATTTTTACATTGACTTAGTTGCCAACGTTTAAAAATTAGGAACTTTCCCTTGAGAAATCACAGTTGTTTTTTTCTTGGTTAGAAACCCTTGTCATGGACCGTCCACACTGCCAGAGGGCAGCACAGTGGGCAAGTGGTATTGAGTGGCTGGTGCCCCTTTAGGCCAGGCCCTGAGTTCACCACATTCCCCCACAACTGACTGTGATTTTACTCACCCCTTCCCAGCTGGCCCTTGGGGCATTTTGGGGTGGGGGTAAAGAGCAGCTGTTGGGGGTGTTAAGAAAGGAAGTGAGTGATGCGATTAGGTGTTTACGTTGGAATAATCACTAGGCACATGTGCTTTTAGGAATGAGGGGCTTAGGCCACAAGACCAATTAGTGGGTCATTGCAAAGTCTCTTCTGAAAGAAGATGAGGCCTATCCTGGAGCCATGGCACAAGTTTTAATAGGAAAAGGAACTGATTTTAAACCCTTAAGGCTTTAGGGAAATGCAAATTAATGCCATAATAAGTTGCCTCTTCATACCCACTAAGACAGCTATAATAAAGACAGTGTCTACTAGTGATGATGTGAGTTGTTGGAATTCTCAGACACTGCTGGCTGCCAGTGGGAAAGCAAAATGGTGTATCACTTTGGCAGTTTCTGACAACCCGGAACATATCATCCTAGCCGGCAATCCCATTCCTTGATATGTATGCAAAAGAAATGAAAACATGTCCACACAAAGAGCTGTACATGAGTTTTTTTTTTAAGATTTATTTATTCATGCATGTAAGAACCGGGGTACAGGCCAGATGTGCGGGAGGGTGAGAGGATTCATCAGAAACATAGCAGGTAACAGAACGGGCGGACTGACTGAAATACACTGCTGAGGGGAGCAGCAGGTGAGACAGGAAAGGTCTGCCGCAACTTGTGGGATTCTCGCATGCTGGCCGGGATCGAACCCGCACTGCAGAGGCTGTGGACAGCTTCACAGCGCTGGGCTCAACCACCTGTGCCACCAAGGGAGGCCTTGTACATGAGTTTTTATAGTAGCTTTATTCAAAATAGTCAAAGGCCCTCCCCGGTGGTGCAGCAGGTTGAGCCCAGTGCTGTGAAGCTGTCCGCAGCCTCTGCAGTGCTGGTCCATATACAGCTGGCCGGCCGGCAAGGGATATTCCCACATGGTGTGGCCGACTTCTCCTGTCTCGCCTGCTGCTCCCCTCAGCAGTGTATTTCAGTTCTTCTGCCTTTTCTGCTCCCTGCTCTGTCTCTGGTGGATTCATTCACCCTCCCGCGCCTCTGGCCTGTATCTCTGTGCTTGTATAAATAAATAAATCTTTACAAAAATAGTCAAAAACTAGAAACAACCCATGTGTCCATAATCTAGTGAGTGGATAAACACACTGCGACATACCCATACAGTGCAATATTACCTGGCAACAAGACTGACACGCTGACAAACACACAACTGGGTAGGTATACCAAAAGTGTAATGCTGAGTGAAAGACGTAAAAGCTAAGACTATCACCTCTATAAATTCCATGTATATGAAATTCTGGAAAAAGCAAAATCAGCTCAGTGGTTGCCCAAAGTCAGGCGGGGGAGGAGAGTTGCCCACAGGGGCTGTTTTGGGATGATGAGTATATTCTGTATCTTTAATTATGGCGGTTGTCCTATGAGTATGTTAAAACTCAGATCTGTGCACCTAAAAAGAGTGACTTAATGTATGTAAATTATACTAGTAATATATCAAGTAAACTTCATATCAGGAAAACCATCTGTTTAAGAGGTGGAATTGTCATGTCAAAGTGAGGAGGGGGTAGGGGTGGGGGAAAGGGAGTCGGGAAGGGAGCCATGGTTGTTGGCCTGGTGTTTGGAGTGGGCACCTCTGCCCTTGGCCTGCTCACCCTCATGTCCAGAGGAAGGCCCTTTCAATCCATACCTGTGCCACCTACCTGCTTCCTCCTTTCCCTTCACCTTCAGCTCTACAGCTCTGACTATACCTGGTTCCTTCTGAAGGACTGCCCCAGCCTCCCCTGCCCTTTGGTTCTGGCCATTCCTCTTCCTGGAACCTCTGTCCAGGAGGGCAGTGCTGCCCTCTCCTTGCATAGTCAGTGTGTACTTTGCCCTCTGTTTTCAGGAGTCGGCATTATATTGTCTGGGGATAGACAGAGTTATAAAGAAGATCGAGGAAGTCAGTAGTACAAAAGTTAGGCTGGTCATTGCCTCTGTAGTGTAAGGGATGAAATACATTTTTCTGGTTCTTGTCCACATGAAAATGTTCTAGCTAGTTTGTAGTCCCTTAAACTCAGAAGTTGTTTGGCCATGGTTTGGTCGAGAAGAAAGACACCATGGCAGGTATTTCCAGCAGGACTTACACCCTGGTTAGTTTGGGAGAAGGGCTAGAGGAAGGAGGTCAGAGAATACTGCTATAGCTGATTGGGTTCCTGTCAGTTTTCCAAAATTGGGATTTTTGGAGGTGCCACAGACATCTAAGTGGGTGAGTCGGGGAGTACCACCATAGTTAGTGCTTTGGTGCTATGGACCCTAGCAGGACCTTCTGTCTGCTGAAGTCATGCTTCTACCTGCCTGTCAGAGGAAAAATAAATAATATGATTTCTCAATGAATAATATTATTTCTAAACTATCTTCCAAACCTCCCATGAGTGCTTCTGTGAAATTTAACCTGGAAATATAATTCCCAGGTTTCCAACCTCTGTGTTAGGGAAGAACATAGAAGAGGGTGCAAAAATTGTCAAGCGGACCATGAGTAACCCAGAACAAGGGTGTGAGGAGATACTAGAGCACACAAGGCAATTAGCTGCAATGATGATACCATTCAAACTGCTGGAATTGTATTTTCATAGTCTAAATTGTAACCCCACAAACCTTCAGAACTCTGTTTATGGCTTTCTATCTTTCTGCCCGGTTGTACCAGTAAAATCAACGCCTGTAACTGCTCATGGGGGTTGGGGTGAAGCATGCTTTCATCCCTGTGTGCTGTGTTCAGGCTCAAGGCAACCATC